GAGGAGGAGGAGGAGGAGGAGGAGGAGGAAAAAAGAAATCCAGGAATGTGCTTTTAGGTACATATAAGGAATCCTTCAACAAGGCCTGGACTTGATAACGGGTTTCAGAACTGAACACACTCCCTTAGTCTAGACCTTCTTCCTTTAGGGAAGACACTAAATACTCGGGCTGGCAGGGGGGACTGTTTAGAGTGTTTAGAGTATGTTCTGATTTGTGAAGCATCTTCAGGAAAGGACATTTACCCTGAGGCCTTGATGATAAGAAGTGGTGTAGGGGTGAAGGGGCTCCTGGTGTGAGAAATGGAAGCCTCATGGCGCTGCGGCAGGACTCGGGATGTGCAGCAAGAGTGGGGAAGCGCCGCAGGGCTTGGGGTCGGGAGGTGCATAGATCCAGGTCATGTGTATTATTAGCATACCCAGCATCTTTTGCTTGAGGACTAACTTGCTATTTGAAGCAGAAACAAGGAAACAGCATCTGCAATATGCTTCCTACCTTTTCATCTGACCCAAGCGCTCAGGGAAATTAAAGAGAGGATTATCACCACATTTCTTTTGGGTGTGTAGCACAAAATGATGCTACCTTTTTTCATTGTCATTGATTTTTGTCGTTTGTTGGAGACTTTTTTTTTTTTTTTTTTTTTGAGACTGGGTCTCACTGTGTAGTTCAGGCTGGCCTTGAACTGAGGGCAGTCCTCCTGCCTCAGCCTTCTGAGCACTGGAATTACAGGCATGCACTACCAAGCAGTTTGTTTCTTTTTTAGTAATAACTAAATAACATTGTTTTGAATTTAGTGTTTCAAATATGGTGCACAGTAATTTGAAGAAAAAACAGATTTGGAAAGAACATTGGAATCTTGTAATTTATATTAAAGCACATTCATAAATTCATACCAATAGAAAATAAATAAAAAACAAATTACTTTTATATGGATTATTTGGGGTCAGAATTGTTTGACTTGCTCCTGTATTATTTCATTTTTTAAAAGAATCAAGAAGAAGACGATTGCATGGTTATCAAATGACATAGTAAGACATTCAAAAACATTCTGGAAATCCATTTAACAATAATTCAATATTGAAGCTCCCATAGCGATGGTGAATCCAACCTCGGTGTTTCTGATACCTGTACTTAAGACTCGCTGGAGCAGTGACTAGAATCAATGAGGACTTGTAGGTCTCTGGGGACCTGTCCCTGGAGCGGACAGGACACCCCGCCCGGGCGCGGGCCCCACCTGCAGGCGGCTCTCCCGGAGCCCGGGCGGGGTTGCTCAGGGCGCTGGCTGCCCGCACCCCGGTGAGACAGCACGGCCAGTCAGGGTGAGATTGAGAGTCCGGCCGCGCTGCCATGGACCCCGCTGCGCGCGCCAGTGAAACCCAGGGGCTCCGAGGACGCCTGGGGGCTGTGGCTGTCGGGTCTTGGAGGAGCCTGGTTCGCACCCCGAAGCAGGCGGGGCCTCGAGAGGAGGCGGAGACAACCGCAGGACACGAGCCTCGTGAGTCCTGCCCTGGGCGAGACCTCAGAAGTGCAGGCGGTGCTGGCGTGGGCAGTGGGTGGGCAGTGGTTGGGCAGGTCCGGGGAATCAGAGAGGTGCCCCAGAGCGTCTCCAAGCTGGGAAGGAAGCAGGGGAGGGGGCGCTGGTGACCCCAGGACCAGCCCAACGCAGCATCCCTGGTGGGCTGGGTTTCAGCTGTGGAGTCCTCCCCACCCACACTGTGGCCACATTCCCCGTTCAGTGTGGACGAAGGAAGTCTTACCCCGCCGCTGCAAGGAGGAGGCTGTTTAAAGAAATGATTAAGCCCTTTTGCAAATAAGGAAAGTTTCATGCACTGCATCATAACTCTGATAAATAGTGCATAAGTCACTGAAACTTTTTACACTTAAGTTTTAAAAGCACGGAGAGGGTCATCTACGCCTCTGGAATGATGCGCAGCATAGAGGAAGGGTCTTCAGAAGTTGTAAATGATGGAGGTCAGTCACCAGGGCAGCCCAGGGCTGGGGAGGTAGCCTCGCTTCGGAGGAAGAACCCTTGGGAGCTGTAGGTACTTCAGTCCCCAACTGTGATGCATAATTGTACTTAGTTCATTAATGAATTCATTCATTCATTCTAGAGCTATTTCCCAGGGCTTACCGTTTGCTAGGCATGCCCTGGAGGCGGGAGTGCAGAGAACAAGGCATCAGCCTGTGCAGGTAGAGGGCACGTTCTGTTGTGCCAGAGGATCAGAAAGCAGCAAAACCAAGAAAGAAATAAATGAGTAAGAGCTTAAGGGAAGTGATGTAAGGCCAAGAGTGGGGTTTAACTGAGCAGGAGCACAGGAAGGGGGCTTTAGCTTTGGTGGTCAGACAGAATATTTGGTCACTTACCTAAATGAGAGGAAAGAATCAACCATGGGAAATTCAGGTGGAAAATCCTAACAAGGAACAGTCCCACATACGCAAGGCAAGCAGGAAATTTTTTGTTTGTTTTTGCAGTACTTGGGATTGAACCTAGGACCTTCACACTGAGCTACATCCTCAACTTTTTTTAAAAAATTTTTTTTATTTTGAGACAGGGTCTCCCTAAATTGCTAAATTTCCCAGGCTCAACTCTGACTTGCAATCCTCCCACCTCAGCTTCCCAAAATGCTTGGAGCACAGGATCATTGTATAAAGAGGAAGATGACCAATCTGACTGGAGTGCAGGAAGTTAAGAGAAGAGAAAAGGAGATTGCTGACTGCTGGAGAGTTCTGGTGTGTGAGGTGAATGCTCACCCCAGACCCCTGAGCTGAGGGTTTGGCCCCAGCCCTTGGTGCTAGAGGGCAGTAGGAACCTTGGGAGAGGGGAGTGGAAGGAAGCTAGGCACTGGAGATTTGGAAAGGGACAGCCCACCCTGGCCATTCCTGCCTTTCTCTTCTCCTGTCCCTGCTGCCACAGGGCCTTGTTTACCACACCATGCTGCCTGGTGTTCTGTGCCACCACAGACCCTGCACACCACCATGGACTGAGACCACAAGCCAGAACAGGTCTTTGCTCCTTTTAGGTTGCTTATGTCAGGTCTTTGATGCCCATAATGCAAAGCTAACTGGGACACGGAAGTAGGCGGAACCAACTCCTACAAGGCCTTGGTGCACTAGGAAAGAAAGTTGCAGCTGGTCTTGGTGGGTTTGTATTATTCTTTTAGCCAGTCACGCACATACATGTATATTGGCATCTCGTTGTAGTTCAAATTGGCATTGCTGTGGGGACTACTGAGATGCCAGCTGGTCGGATTTTATTCTTCATTCCATTGACTTCTTCCCTATTTTTGTAAGTTGTTTTCTTACTGTTGAGGTTTTTTTTAAAAAAAATATTATGTATTTAGTACAGCGTCTACAGCATCTCACTACACAGGTCGAATTTGTAGTGATCCTCCTGTTTTTCAGCCTCCCAAGTGCTGGGATTACAGGCACATGCCACCATGCCCAGTCTCAATCACCATCTCAGCGTGCCTCAAGGTGCTAAAGTTAACATTCTATGCTTTAAATTTATACCTAAGGTACATTTTAAGTTAAATTTCATGTTAGCTATAAAGTTTACATCAAGGCTCATATTTTTTTTAATGTGGATGTCTAATTATTCAAATACTATTTGCTGCCTTTCTCTGTTTTCAAAGTTTGAAAACTATCTGAATTTAATAGCTCATATTTGTGTAGGTTTATTTTTAGAATCTATATCTTATTCCATTGATCTGTGTGTCCATCTCTTTGCCAATGCCCTGCCGTATTGACTAGTATAGGTTTAAAATAAAAATATAAAGTAGTAATAAAATAAAAGAACAAAGGACTTTATCTTTTTAAAAATTATTTGGGCTTCTCAAAGTCATCACTTCAGGCCAGAAATACAGCTCAGCTTCACAGCGCCTGCCTGGCAAGCACAAGGTCCTGAGTTAGAGTCATGGGACCAAAAAAAAAAAAGAAGTTTCATTGTCTCTGTGTATAAACTTTGGAATCAGGTTGTCTGTAGCTTCAAAAGGCCTCTGGCATTTGCTTATGATTGCACTAAATCTGTAGATCAGTAAGGAGAAAATTGGTGTCATAAAGATGTTGAGCCTACCAAACCATGAACTTATATATTTTCATTTAAATCTTCGATTTCTTTCATTAGCATTTTGTATTTTTTTAATATAGAGAAACTATGCATATTTTGTTGGACTTCTAAGCAAGTATTTTTTACTTTTTGATCAATTCTGGTGGTTTTTAAGTTTCACTTTTCGTTTGTTGACTGCCTGTGAATAGAAATATGATTGACGTTTGTGAGGTTCACTTTGTACCCTGCAACTTTGCTAAGCTCATTTATTAGTTTTAGAGCTGTTCTGCGCACTCCTTTGGATTTTTATATGTACATACTCAGATTCTCTGAAACTAGGCTAGTGATGGTTGTATTTCTTTCCAATCTGTATGCCTTTGTATTTACTTCGGTACATGTTGTACCTACTATAGCACTGGCTTTCAACACAGCATTAAGAGGAGTTGTGAGAGTCTCTTTTTTATTTTTAGGGACAAAGAAAACATTCAGACATTTTATGATTAGGACACTGCCTGTTAGGTTTCTATAGAGGCCCTTTATCAGGTTACAAAACTTCACATCCATTCCTGGTTAGTCGGGAGGCCTGTTTTGTTGTTGTTGCTATTGTTTGTTTGTTTTTTAATCATGAATGGGTGTTGAATTTTATTTTATTTATTATTTATTTTTTGAGATAGAATCTTGCTTTGTGGTACAGGCTGGCCTTGAACTCATTACATAGTCCAGGCTGGCTTCAAACTCATGACAATCCTCCTGCCTCAGGCTCCCAAGAACTTGGATTACAGGCATATGATACCATGCCTGGCTTGGGTGTGAAATTTTTAAAAATACTTTTCTGCATCAATTATTATGATTACATAGTTTTTTTTCTGTTAATATGATGGATTACACAACTGATTTTTGAATACCAAACCAGTCTTACCTTCCCTGGATAAACCCTATTTGGACATGGTGTATTATGCATTTTTATATAATATTGAATTGGATTGGATTTTGCATGTTCTATTCAAGGGGGTTATTAATTTAAGTTTTTTTTCTTTTTTTTTTTTTTGCGGAACCGGGGATTGAACTCAGATCCTTGTGTTTGCCAGTCAAGCACTTATCCTACTGAGCCATCTCCCCAGCCCCCAATTTAAGTTTTCTATTCTCGAAATATCTTTGAAAATATTAATCAATAAACACCTGGCCAGATATTGCAGTATCTTTGACTTTAGAATCAGGGAAGTGCTGATCTTATAAAATGAGTTGGGAAGTGTTTCCTCCTCTTCTGTTTTTTCAGAGATTGTGGAGAGTATTTACTAATTTATTTATTTTCTCTATTTTAGGGAAGGGTCTACAGGGTGTTCAGGGTTTTGCTACTAGATCGAACTCATATGATCCACCTGTTTACAGCCTCCCAAGAGCTGGGATTACAGGCATGCACCACCCTGCCCAGTCTCAATTGCCATCTGAGTGAGCCCTGAGGGCGGGGTCAGCACAGCAGGCCCAGAGATGGAACCCCTGGCCCCAGCACCTGCTTGCAGGTGCTTTAATCTGCTAAGCTATTTGGCCACCCCTGTGGAGAGTATTTAAATGTTTGGTGAAATTCACCAATAAAACCATTTGAGCCCAGAGATTTTTTGTTTGGAATATTTTAAACTACAGATCCAATTTATGTATAGTTGTAGATGTATTCAGATTATCAATATACTTGAGTCAATTTTGTTATTATGGTTTTCAAGAATTATTCTATTTCATTTCATTTGTTGAAATTATACAGGAAGAGTTGTTCAGAATATTTTTTTAATCATCCCTCAATGGCTATGAGGTTTGTAGAGATAAATCCTCTCTCATTCCTGATATTGGTAATTTGTGTTTCCTTTCTTTTTTCTTCTTTTCATCAGGTTCCTGGGGACCTGCCCATTAGCTCAGTTGTTGAAGTGACTGCTTAAACAAAGCAATCAGAATGCTGTGGTTCGATCCCCAGATCCTCAAGCCTTACCAGACCTGCCCTGAAGGCATCCTGAGCCAGCCCCAGAAAACAAACAAACAAACAAACAAACAAACAAAAAAACAAACAAAAAAACCCCCCACTTCATCCAGGTTCCCACATGAATGTCACCACTGCTGAAATTAAAATATGATTTCTTTTTTCTTGGTCAGTCTGGCCGGGTGCTTATTGATTAATTAATAGTTTCAAATAACAAACTTCTGTTTTTGTTGATTTTTTTCTGTTGCTTTTGGTTTTCAATTCCATTCATTGCTGACTTTAGCTTTGTTATTTTCTTATGCCTGCTTGGCTTAATTTTATTTGGTTCTTTTTCTTTTACTTTCTTGATATAGAAGCTTAGCTTATTACTTTGAGAATCTTCTTTTCCAATGTAATCATTATGGTGCTAAATTTTTTGAACGTTTCTTTGACTGCATTTACATACTTTCACATATTTTATTTTAATTTTCATTTAGTTAAAATG